TTGGAATGAAGTGCGGCTTCATTGTTCATAGCGGATGTCTGCCTGGGAATTACAACAAACAATAGGAAAGAAATGGGGTTGACTAACCCATTGACCTTGTATCACAAGAGCAGAAAGAAATGAAAACCGAACAGACCCCTGTGCTTTCCATCCCCCTGAGGGCTCTGTCTGTTCTCAGGCCTGGGCCTCTTTCTGCTTTCCCCTCTAGAGGGTTCCAGTATCAAGCGTCTCTGTGTTAATTAACTCAGCATGTGGCACATAAAGGCCTGACAGCAGACAGCTAATGTTTTGGATATGCACACAGTTTAAGGATTAGCTCAGTTCCAAAGGACAACTTAACGTTGCCACAGTACAGTTGACACTTGGTGATCCGAGGCAAATTTCGGGTTCTGGGTAATCTTCCTTCTGCTACCATCATGCATGTGAGCCTCCACTCCTCACTCACAGCTCTTAGATGTTCAGATAAAACAAAATATTTTGATTCAACCTAGATAAAATCAGGAAGACACATCTTGCAATTGCCAATAAAAACCACCACCACCAACAAAAAGCCCCCACAATACATTGGGTTATCTTTGCCAATGCTTGCTCTTTCCCACTATGAGAATTTTATAAAATAAATTTTAAAATATATAATACTAGTATATAAAGTAAATGTAGAAGGCAGTTTCACATGTAAGGTAGCCCCAAAGCCAAATTCTTTAGGATAGGTGTATGGTGAGAAACCATTGTGCTAAGGAAAGTCTTCGGCCTGATTTCCAGCATTTTTTAGTATTGAGCAATGTCAAGTTTGCAAAATGGCAGCCCACAGGCCACATCTGGCCCTTTGACATGCTTAATTTCATTTTGTGTAGTGCTCTTAAAAAGTTATAATTGAAAATGTGAGAAGCTTTTTTTAAAAAAAATTTGCATTCCTGGGTTTTCTTGCTCAAGATATGGGTTTGTTTCTTCATGGCAAAAAATGGACAGGAGCCAAGCAGCAACTATCCCTCCATTGGAGGGGGATGGGGCACATGCAATATGGTGCTGATGTCAATCTAAGCACACAGTGTTTGAAATGCTGATTCCTGCACCTCAAATTTTGCTCCCTTACTCGTCTGTCAATCCTGTTTGTCAAATCTCTCCCTTAGTTCTGAATAGTTTCCTGTTTATTTTGCTCAAGATAGGCTGTGGAATAGGACAAACTGGGTGGAGTTGGGCAGGGTCTGTCTGAGACTCATTTTTTATTTAGCATTTACAAAGTGGAGTTTTCATTAATATTGACCAATTGCCCAGAAATCACCCAGTGAGCTCCTTTTTAAAAAAATCAAAGCAAATACATAAATATAAAATATGTGGAAAGGCTGACAAATTTAGCCATTCGGCACAGCATTTAAAAATGGATATAGCAACATTTTTAATGTACTCTTTCAAATGTCATGACAGCTGTCCAAATTTGTAATTTTAAAATATATTTTATGTTATCACATACATTTGCTATACACTCTATCAAATATATGACTAATATGTGAAAACAAATATGTTTGCCACCCAGCTGACTCATGTTCCTTGGGATGCTGGAGACTCTTTGAAGGATCAACAAAAGCCCCTTGTGGCTGGAAAGAGGGGCCTCAAAGCCAGCAATTTTTTTTCTCCAGGGAATTTGTTCATGGATCAGCTTCTGCTTCCCTTTGGAATGGAAAGCACATACCACACAGTGCCACAGAATCATCGGGGTTCAAATGAAAAAAGACATGCCTTATCCTAAAGACCTGGGAGTGGTTCTTTAAATCGTTCATTCATACACGCATTCATTCACTCATTCATCTATTCAGTCACTCCATGAGTATTATGGAACACCTACCATGTGATACTTATTATTATGTTAGATGTTGTGTAGGGGTACATATGTGAACAAAATTTTCTGATTTTTAAGGAGCTGTATTCATTACCTAGGGCTGCCATAACAAAGTACCACAGATTGGTTGACTTTAACAATGGAAATTTATTGTCTCGCAATGTTGGAGACTGGAATTTGGGTATTAAGGTATCAGCTGGGTTGGCTCCTTCTGAGAACTGTGAGGGAAGGATCTGTTCCAGGCCCCTCTCCTTGGCTTGTAGATGGCCATCTCCTCTCTGTGCCCCATTGTCATCTTCCCTCTGTGTGTGTCTGTGTCCAAATTCCCTTGTCCTATAAGTACACCAGTCATATTGGATTAGGACCCACCTTAATGACCTCACTTTACCTTAATCACCTGTGTGAAGGCCCTATCTCCAAATATTCTGAGGTACCAGGAGTTAGCCTTCAACATGAATTTCTTGCAGGGATGGGGGGGCATAGGAGTTTGTAAGATAGCTGTTTCTATACTATAAGTTTGAATCCTTCTATTCTGCTCATTGGTCCTGCTGCCTTTACTAGCAAAGGGGCCTCTCTGACTACTGCTAATGGCAACTTCATTTACTCCTAAACTATGCTGGCTTAGATAATTTCAGATACTAGTAAGGTGACAATAAACTAAGCTTGACATCCTTCTATTCTGCTCATTGGTCCTGCTGCCTTTACTAACAAAGGGGCCTCTCTTTGACTACTGCTAATGGCAACTTCATTTATTCCTAAACTATGCTGGCTTAGATAATTTCAGACACTAGTAAGGTGACAATAAACTAAGCTTGACCCCAAATTTCAGTAAATGGACATGAAATGTAGATACAAATAAAAGGGTCCAGATTTGGGGTATAGCTGTGTGTACCAGTTTGTGGTCAGGAGTGGGAATAAAATGTCTCCATGGTGTTTTCTAGTAAAATAGAATGCCATGAGATGTGGGTGAATGGAGAAGTACAAGCCAGTCAGGATAAGCCCAAGGAAAGTTCTAGAAAATTGAAATATGGGTAATATAAAGGCAGTCACATGACCCATATAACTAACTCTTCTCATGTATGGGCAAAGGGAGAAAGAACCAAAGAAGAGAGAGGGAGATCTGGGACTAAGAGGAGGAGTTTGGGGGAATGTGCGACAAAGTACAGCTGGATGATATCCTGTTGACAGGACTTGGCTGATATCCTCAGACAAGCTCATGCTGGAGTGAGGAAGAGAGCTTTGTGGGCCAGGCTCTGTGAGGTGCAGGCATCGTCTCCCTTGTACCCTTTTCCAAAACCTTTTCCTGTCTTAGCTTTTCTCTTCACCATCTTCCCTGCTTCACTTTGCTGGTGCCTCAGTGGACACAGGGTAAAATGAGAGCTGAGAAAAACCTTCATCTCTCTCAACAGCATATGGAACTCCCATAGGTTGAAATACATTCAAATGCCAAGGAATTACTGGTAGGCACTGGGGTTTGTAGGTTTGTGTATGTGTTCCCCTGTAGCATACTCTCAAGTCACACCATGGATGAAGCCATTGCAACTTCATTTAGGTGGAGGGCTGGCTCTGCCCCCTGTTTTCTAGCAGCATTTCTCAAACGTTAATCACTGGGATGTTGTTGAAATGCGATTCTGATTCAGAGCATCTTGGGTGAGCCCAGGCTGGTCCACTTACATCTCGAGTAGCAAGAGTCTATGGGTTGATGGAGTCCAAGGAGACTCGAAATCCTTGTTCTGTCATTTAAGAACTTGGGGCTCAGTGGGGTTCCAAGGTTAAGAGGGAAGATACACCTCTTGGCTACTGTCATCACCTGAACTTTCACTAGCTCCTGTATTCATTAGTAAGGGTTAGAGGGAAAAGAAAAATAACAATAACGTTCTTAATTGGATGCCTGAAAGAGATACTGCATTTCTACTGATTAAGGCAATTAAAGGTGCAGACGCTGCTGCTCAAAAGCTGACATCTTCAGGTGTCTCATAACCGAAATTAATACCACTGCTAGCTGTGCCACAGAGTCATGCTGTAAAGTAAATTAATTACTGCAACCAAACTAATAATAACAGTGTAGGCAGAGTTGTAGCAATCTTGTGGCTTGCCATTGGAGACTGAGCAGGACTTTTGCCTCTCTGCTACCCATGAGCGCAACCCAGCAATTGCTGACTGTAACATTTCTATTGTATGGTTTATGCTAAATATGCATATCTTAATTGCATTAGTCAAAATAATTAGCTAATATATTTTTGCATAATGACGAGGTAAGCAAATATCACCATAGCTCAGTAGTTCTTGCATGAGTAAATTTGGAAAATTAATAGACTCCCAATTTCCTAATTATCTGTCTTTTATTCCATGCTCAAACAAAGAAATGCTACTGCACACTCCTGGGCATCATGTAATTTAGTTTGCACCTTGACAATTTTAAAGCACCTGTGTTTGTTTTTGCCCCCTTTTGCAGGAAAGTGATAGAAAGAAAAATACAGCTTCTTCCTTTTGCCACCCTTAAATTGAAATGTAAAGGAAGCAGCAAATCAATTCATTTTAATTCCTATATGTGAGGCCTTAATTACAAGGCATTTGTAACGCATTAAAAAGTTGTTATAAAGTTGAAACAATGGTCAAAATTCTTTCCATCGTGACGGTGCACAGCAGGTGTCTGAGTTCTACACACATGGCGACATTTCTTCCTCCTGTCCTTCCTCTGGAATCGAGCAATCTTCTCCTTTGCATCTCTCATGACTTCCCAGTTTAGCTTAGCTGTTTCCCATTCCTTCAACCTTCACGGCATTGGGCTCTTTCTTCCCACTAAACGTAGCAGTCTCCACTGAGGACAGTGTGGCTGCTGAAGAGGAAATCTCACTGTTTTGATTAAAATGCTGGGTGGACCACAGCTGGATCCCTTTGGGTCCTATGTAATATCTTTGGGCTTGTGATTATGAACCAGGCTAATATGCTGATGCCCTCCGGAGCATCGTGATTTAACAGAACCTGGCCACTGCTGCCGAAGGTGTCAGCTCTTCCTCACTTCTCATGAGAAAGCATATCCTTAGCATGCTAATCGAATGCACAAAGAAAACGGGAATCTGCCCAAGAGGACATTTGAGCAATATGCTAATATCAGCTAAAGAGCTTAAAAGCACTCTTGTCTCGTGTCTTCTGATGGCAGGTTTCAGGCCACCACTTAAGAGGAAGAGTGTGCTGGGGCCTGAAGCCCACCGCATCTGGAGGAAACCCTCATGCCAAGCGCCAAGCCACCAGTCTAACAAGAGGCAAGTCGTTTAGGGGAGAAAGCAGCTGGGTGAGGATTTCCCTTAAGTTTCCAATGAGTCTTTTAGATTTCAAGTGGCTTATGGGAAAGCCATCTGCGACCTGATAAGAAAGGAAATCTGCATTGATGTCACTTGGCCTCTAAATAAGCTCTGATTGGATCAGTTCTCCCAGCAGGTGCAGTACTTGTCAGGATTCCAGCCCTGAGACCACTTGGGCTGCCTGTCAGCACACCCTGTCTAGGTGTCTGGAGCAGGTAGCAGCTGCAGGCTGTAACATCCTCAGGTATTGTATTCACTTCCATGCTCACCTGCCAATCACCAGGAACTATAAAAGGGAATGTATGTAAAATTTGTTTTAATTTGTACATTTGAGTATAACAGGCTTTAATTAAGATGAGGAAAGAGATGAAGACATGCTAAATGGTGTGTGGGAGACCATGACGACATAACATCCAATTTAATGGCTGGTACAAGAAGAATCAACTTGAAAGCTAAACTTGAAGTGTGTGCATTGGCCGGTTGGGAAGGGAAAGCTGTTCATTGTCAACATGCACCAAATTACCATAAGGGCAGCTGAACATAGGAGGCAAAAGGAGAGAGAGAGCGCGAGGAATGAAGGCTCAGAAGAAAAACTGTTGAAGGAAGAGAAATAAACGACACACAGGTATATTCTGAGAAAAAAGAAACCAATTCTCACGATGATAATGTAATGAGAGAAAAGTAATTAGAAGTTAGACCACAGGGTGGATCAAAGCTGAAATTGCTAGTGCATGGATGAAAAAAAAAGGGGGGGGGGCGAGGGGATGGAGGACCTGAGGAATCAAGGAAGTAGCTGTCTAATCCTTGTGTTATACACTCAGCTTCCTGTTGCCTCTGGTACAAGGAGAGGGCATGCCTGTATCTGAGCTATGGAGAGCCTTTTATCTGGGCAAGAAGTTGAGGGAAAAAGAAATAGGACCTTGGTTATGCTTATATGCATGACCAAGCATAACCAATGGACACAGACAATGGGGCGGGAGTGAAGGCTGGGGCTGGGAAGGTGGGGGCAGGCTGGGAGAGGACAATGCAGGGGAGGGGACAAATGTAATACTTTCAACAATAAAGTTAAAAAAAAGAAATAGAACCTACTTCCCATTCTTTTCTTAGTTTCCCAGAGTCTTTAGGTGAGGCAACATCTTACATAATAGTCAGGTACTTTACCCCCACCCCAGAACCCATCCCTGTAGGAATAAGAAAATGTCCCATATGTGAAGGAGGGTTACAGAGTAGGAGAGGAAGGTACAGCAGAAGATCAGGTTAGAGGGGGACCAGGGGCCAGGTCACACTTGACTTTTTCACATTATCTGAGGAGTTTGAACTGAATTCTGAGGATAGTTGATAGCCAGGAAAGGACTGAAAGCAGCAGGAAGCATATGGTCAGCAAATCAATTGGAATAAGCCACCAGTTATGAATAGCTAACCTTCATGTGGGAGGTAGAAGAATGTGAAAGGCATATTTTTTGCCTGCAAAGAGCTGATATTCTTGAGTTATGTGAATAACTGACAATTTTTTAAACCCCAAATAATAGATTAATAATAGAGAAGCCACATCTCAGGAGAAGTAGGACATGATTGACATGCAGATTCCAGCTACTCAAAGTGTGGTCCATGGGTCGGCAGCATTGGCATCATCTGGGAACTGGTTAGAATGCAGGTGCTCAGGCCTCACCTCATACTGACCTGAATCAGAATTTGAAAAATAGGATCTTCAGGTGATCTACCCAAAGTCCTGGTTAAGAAGACATGCAGCCCTAACCAGTTTGGTTCAGTGGATAGAGCATCAGTCTGTGGACTGGGGAGTCCCAGGTTCAAGTCCGGTCAAGGGCATGTACCTTGGTTGTGGGCACATCCCCAGTGGGAAGTGTGCAGGAGGCACCTGATCGATGTTTCTAACTCTCTATCCCTCTCCCTTCCTCTCTGTAAAAAATCAATAAAAAATATATATATTTTAAAAAAGACCTGCAAAAATAGCAAGTGAAAAGCCTTCAGTGTAAAGCAAAAAGTTTATGAAGGAAGAGTAACATTTTGTTCCTAGGGATTGGTTTCATTGTCTGTGATGAGTCTGGTACGTTGGGGCATTTATAAAGGCACAGCATGGGTCCCCTATAAGTGTGGAGCAGATAAAACAGCAGATTCTCCAGGCACTGTCCCTGTAGGAATTTAAGATCTTGGGTGTGGGAAGGAGAACCCTGGATTCCCTGAGCAGAGGGGAGTTGTATTAAAATTTGGATAGGCTTGTTCTTGCACACCTGGGTTGGAGAAATGGTTTCTATTTGCTGCATTAGTTGAACTCAGTCAGCTTTGGGAAAGGTGGAATGATAGGAAATGAGGGAGATGAAATTCCTTAGGCACAGTTCCACATTGCACATTCTGCTCAAATGATTTTTACAAAAATACAAGTTAACTAGAATCTTTAACTGGATCACCCACCATGGGCGTGGCTGCATTGAAATGTTGGGTTCTCCCACCTTGCCCACCTTTTCCTTCTCTACGCAGTGACTTTGCTCAGAGCATTTCCTCTATTTATAACAGCCCTTATTACCTCCTTTTGCATATCCTTTGGTAAAATCCAATCCCTATCATTGTATCTTGGGCATAATAGAGGCTTAATAAATACAAATTTAATTAAATAAAAAGAATACATGAACATATGAATGAATGAAGGAGGAATGAATGAAATCAGATTAGAGAGGACCTGGAGTGCCAGGCAAGGGTAATTGGAATTCACTGTGCAGTTGTTGGGAGGAAAGTGCAGTTGCAGGGTATGAGATGCATGGATTTAGCTCACATGTTAAAAGGCAAAACTAGAAAAAAGAAAAAGAAAACATGCACAGAGAAAAAGGAAATTCAGTGAGAAACACAGCAACAAAAATCTGAGAACTCATTTGTCATAAAAATGTCTCATCTCTGCATCTGGAGATTTGGGCAGCTATAGGTGACAGGAATGTGACATGCTCTCTCTTTTGGCAGGCTCTCCAGTAACCCCAGCCAATGACAAAAATCACTGAGGGTGGCCTTCCATTGAAGATTACCTGGGTGCATTTTTAGATTGCTGTACATTTCCTCTATTATTTCCAAGATTATTTTCACTTAGGTTATCAGACACATGCAATGTGGCCAAAGGAGGTACCATGGGATGAAATGCTAACCAAAGGTGTGCCCTGGCTCCCAGGCCAGCTCCCGTGGGACACTTGCTCCTGGGGCAGAGCCTTCCTATTGCTTCTTCTTCTTTTGTTCATCGGTGTTGCAGAGATCTTGGGACGGTCACTGTATACATTTAGCAGACTTCACATTGCCCTGGGTTGACTTTGAGCTGGCCTTCAAAGTATGTATTACAATAAAATTATTAGAGCAAGGAATAAAGTCAGGGTCTTTCATTTTTTATTCTAAATGTTGGGAAACATGCTATGAATTTGACAAAAGGTTCTGCCTGTGGGACTCTTGGAGAGCTCTCCAGACAGCGTTCCTAATACAGGACCTCCGTTCCCATGGCACTGGATATGGGATTCTTCATTCAGGTCCCAGTGTTTGCAGAATGTGATGCTGGGCTGTTAAGCAGCTGCTGTGTTTAACCACAGATGTGGGTGCATTTTATGGATGGGATTCCTGTGTGTTATGTGCATGTGTGTGCGCCAATAAACAAACATGTATATATTTAAAACCAATATTGACACAGTGTTAAGACTGCAATCTTCGCAGTTAAATCAGGAAATTCCTAAGTTACATTTCCTATGACAGTATTATTTTCATCCCTTGCACATCCTGTGTTTCACACCACAGCCATTTAACTCTGAAAACACCTGGGAATGGAGCCCCCCCAAGCCTACGCTGGACAAAGTCAAGTCCTTTCAGGAATTATCTGCAATCCGAGGTGTTTTAATGATGCATTTTAGTTCCATGTTAAAAGTCAAAGTTTGATTTAGAAAGGTGGGAGAGAAACAAAAGAATCAAGAAAGATGTTTTCATTTATGAGTCAAAAACATGACGTGTCTCGTTTTATTCTCTGGTTAATAATCTTTATCCAAATGGGAGCTGAAACAGCAGAGGAAATGTTCCTCCTGTTCAGCTCAACTCTTATTGTTTCAACCTTGTACACTCAAAACTAGGAAACCATTTTTCTTCAGAATTGGCTTCCGTTCCCTTCCTTAATGAGGACTACAATCTTGCCAAATTTGAAGTTCACAGCTTCAGTCATTTTTGAATTGCAGAAGCACAGATAAAACATTTTGATATTTTTTTATGATGGAAAATGTGCAATTTTCCCTACCTAGGTGTATGGTTATCGTCTCCAATAGAGCACATCTAAGTTTAGACTTGAATGAGTTCCATGGTGTCGAAAGTGCCGGATAAGTTAACAGAAGTGGTTTTTGTTTCATTATTGTGTGTTGTCTTCTGGATACCCTTCCATTGGGTTTCCTTTTATGGCTGATTTCTGGTTGGAGTGCTTTGTCAACAGGTGTTGATGGCTCGGCAAGGTCTGGGACTTAGTTATCTGACTCTGAACTTGGTGCCCCCCACGTTTTCACTTTTAATCTTCCTGCTTATTAGGTTTCTGCCTTCTTTTATCCTGCTTCCAAAATCTTCTGAGAGTTGCCAGATAACAAGAGACAAATTGTGCAAATTAAATGTCAGGAAGTGGTGCATTAGTAAGTGAGCTTTGTGCCATCAATGGTACAGCCGATTCCCTCCTCTCTAAGCCAAATACTTCTCCAAATTGAAATAGGCTTCATGAATTTCTTTTTTTTTAAGTTAAAGTATGACAGCTGCTTATTTTTATTTTTGTTCATCTGGTGAAACCAGAAGGGGCCCAAAGAAGTCATTAATGTCCACTGTGTGGGGGCTCTAGGAAATGCGTTGAGGGGAGAATGCATGAACAGTATTGTTCACCATATGTAGACTAGAAACATCCTTATGTCAGGGTCCATGGGTAAGAGAGGGAGTGTGTTATAATTAACTGTATAGTACATATGGTGGGCTAGAAAGTTTACTCCTTGGAGTCTAGTTTAGTTATAAAATCAAACAAACAATGAAAACAGAGTCAATTAACAATGGCCTATCAAACATTGTCATGAAGTGCCCGTGACCATGTGGAAGCCCCTGGGGTCAGGAAGCATGGGCATGTCCTGATATTGGATCCCCACTTTTCTGGACACCCTGTATCAGATGAAGTTAACAGAGCCAGTTCCCAAGAGGGAGGGAGAGAGAGAGAAAAAAAGAGGGGGGTGGGAGGAGAGCTTTATCTGTCACTAAACTCCCTCACTGTGGCTTCCTAAAGGACTATAAAGTCTGGGAGTCCTTCCCTCGGGGCCCATGTTACAATGGTCATCTGAGGGTCATCTGTCAATATTGCACTTCATCCAACTATAGGATCATCAGGAACTGGGTTAGAACTCCATCATCTGCTTCCTGTGGCTCCATTTTCAGGGACCGGGCAGCTATGAGCCTTGCTGACTGACTCTGCTGGAAAAATTGCTCTGACTGGTAGCTTATGTTATATAGGACAGTGAATATTTTAAACTTGATTAATCTGACCTTCTTCAAGTCTGGACAAGCCTCTATGTTTCTATGTGTTAGGTAGATCTGCTATGACTCTTGGTCTTGGTAGGGTGGCCCTATGAAGTAGGTGTCCAGTGGAACCTAGTGGTGCAGTCTCCTTGATTACCTCTTCTGGGTGCTTCAGGAATGTCCCTTGTATGGGTTATGTGGGCCCTCCTGATGTAATTGAGTCTTGATTACTATTGGTTTGTTCTTGTGTGGGGTTGAACCTCAACCTGTCTGACTGTGGATATTGACCCTGACCTCAGTGTATAAGCTGCTGTGCAAGTGCTGACCACATGAAGCAGAATTTACCTCGGCAGGGTTTGGTACCTGCCAAGATCTCCCTTTGGATATGCCACTTGTGAAGTATATCCAAATTGGATCCTGCTCTGATGTTGTCAGAAGCTGGCCAATGTGTGTGTTGGTTCTGGGGCCTCTTGGGAGGGACTCTGGTGTAGGCCAAAGTCATATGCTGCTGCCTGTATGTTGTCAGAAGCTGGCCAATGTGTGTGTTGGTTCTGCGGCCTCTTGGGAGGGACTCTGGTGTAGGCCAATGTCATATGCTGCCTGTGACTGGCCCTGGACAACGTGTTTGGAGCAGTCTTAATGTGGCTTCTTCTGTAAATCCTTGGTCATCGGACCTTCTATTCAATTAGTCTTCAGCTGTTTACTCACATTGATTGTTCCATGTTTTAGTTATAATTCCAGTCCATCATCTTTCTTTACTCTAGCCATTAGCTGTTTACTCACATTGATTGTTCCATGTTTTAGTTACAATTCCAGTCCATCCTCATCTTTCTTTACTCCAGCCATCTTGCACACTAGTTGTTCACCCCTACTGATATTTTCAGTGCCCAAAGATTCTTGAAAGCCTTCCTTGACTCACTCTCCCCCTGCCCCCATCATCTTTCTCCTTCCCACCCTCATCTTTTGAATTTGGTTATGTGTCTCTGCTATGTTGTTATATAGTCTTGAGTAGTTTAGTGCAGTTCTCTTGTAAGATGTACC